CGGAAGAAGGTGCGGTAGGTCAGCGTTCCGAAGTCGCCGGCGGAGGCTCTTCCTGGAAGAACTCTCTGTCCTCCCGGAGACGCTCATCGGGTATTTTATTTCTCGAGGTTGGCTCGACGTTTCATGCGAGAGAAGGGTTGCAGCATGAGAAATCATTTTCTTGGCATCTTATTGATATTTTTCATGTTATTAATTGGACTGGTTGGCGTTGAATACTCGTGGAACAGTTAGGAATCAGTAATTAACTTATATCTAGAGAATGGAACTGAATCGCTCATAATACCTAAGAGGGAAATTGATCTTCAATTAGATTATAATGCGAACAAGCTGTTCGTATTGAAATAATAATTAGCGGTTATCGTTAGAGTGTTAATATATCAAAAGTCAATGTTAACAAATTCAGATTTTCAAGTAATATTTCAAGAAAATTCATCCGTGATTACAAGTTATATCGCAACACTATTCGTATGTGCATCAAAGTGGAAAAAGTTCAATGAATATTCAATCGTTCTGCCGTCCTCTTCGATTAATTGGAACGAAGAAACTTTCCTATCCGAGTGCAAGGAATTGCAACTGATTTTCCATCGATCTTGGTAACAGGTTATCGAGTGGAAGCTTAAAAGAATGGACTGCGGGTCGTTGTCTCCGCGTGTAACCATTTGAAGCTCGGTGATCTTGCTCATCGATGATCGGAACGAGCGGAACGGGTTCAGCCAGAAAGAGCCAACGCTGGTGGGCGGTGTTAACGACCGGCTGTTCAAACCAGGAAGATACGATAGGTCAGGAATATGCGGGTCCCCGCATCCACGAATTACGACTTACGGTCGTGGATCCTATGCTCCACTTTCAGGCGGCACGCATCGCGCAGCTGAATAAATTGTACTCGTTGCTCGACGGGTTCGGATCTTCTCGAGGACGTATCTCGATTGCAACGGATCACTATACCCTTGTCACTGAAATTAATCTTCCGGAGAAGTGATTTATGTATCGTCGAATTTATCAGGTTCGGGGTTTAGTTCTACTCGACGTTATCTCTTTTCCCCCGGAGACAGAATTAGGAAGTTTGAATTGCAGAAAGCGAGGATTAGTGTAATCAAAAACGTACACGTTTCCAATTTGAGAATCAATCATTACTACATACAAATTTCACGAAAATGGGTCCACATCAAGAAGCTCTAGAATATCTAAAAAAAGTAAAAATTCTAAGAAATCTACTGTAACAGATCATCGTTACACCAAATACCATCAGAACGAGTCTTCCGAGCGACAGTCGTCGAATCCACATCGCGTTTCCTCGAACTCATCGTCCCCCCAAATCCCATTCAATCGCGCATACCGTTTATCAAATGCCTATTACGCAACCTACACTTATCCGCGTACGAGTCACTAATAAAAATGCCTAAGAAAGATCGAATAATCTCCTCTGAATGCATTTAGCCGCGCGAGAAGCAGTTTCGCAGCCGTAAAACCGCTATAGCGTGTCTCTAGCCGCTTGTAGCCGGCTTCTCCAGAATTTTCGCACGTCTCCTCGACGAAGAGCGGGCTCTATTCAAGCGAGAAGGGCCGCCGCGGAGCGCTGCGCGGAGGTTGCAGCGCGAGCGTTACACGAGGAAGAGATTACTGGCTGTTCGGGTTCCGTGCTTTCTCTTCCACCGTCTCAATCCTCCGGCATTGTTCGGTGCCCGGCGTCGTCCGCTTCTTCTCCTCCTCCTCCTCTCGCTTCTCCTTCTTCTTCCTCTTCCTCCACGAGAGATCTTCCCACGCACGTGCCGTGGCTCTCGTACGGGTCCGCGAGGCCCGCTGAATAATTACCAGATGAAGATACCGCCGCCTCGTGTAGGCTGAAATCTCGCCTCTCTCTCTCTTTTTCCCTTTCTCTCTCTTTTTGTCTCTTCTCGGTCGGTTCCTTCCCTCCGCGCCACCTTCATCCAACGAGGATTTTGCAACGGTACCCGTGCGCCTATCCGACGACACGTCCCGTCCCTTCGCGGATCAGCAACCCACGGGATCGACCCCTGGAGAAGCATAAACGCCTAAGAGGGTCCCGTGCGAATCTGTCTGGCCGACTGGTAGCCCCTTCGATGGTGTTTCCGTTTAGCCTTTTGTTGGTCCTCAGGGGATTTTCGGTAGCGAGTTTGGCGGTCTGATTCAGAGTGAGTGGCTGCTAGGGTTTCGATGGGATTTCGTGATTGGATGGAGGCAGAGTTAGGGTAGACAGAAGTTATCATTTGCTATTTGAAACAGACGCAGAATTCTCGTGAGCATTTAGACCGGAGGTGGCTAAACTGTGGCGCGTGCGTCAAACGTCGCATATTGGATGATTACAAGTGCATCCTTGCGCCTACTTATTCTTTTTAAGCGCTTCGATAAACGTGTGCCTATTGAACTCACATTAATTAATTAAATTGCGAGTTATTCCTTTTCCTCCTCTAAGCGAAACAGATTCTGCTCCTATCTCTATTCTCCTACCACAACCGCGAACGTAAAAGGGTCGAAAAGGTGCTTCAGTTGTATGGCGCATCCGAACTTGTCTGTGAACAGAACTGGCGCATGATGTGCAAAGGTTGTCCAGCTCTGATTTACACGAATTCAAAAGTGAGAAACCTGTATGTTTCGCGGTTAACGGTTGTTGGTTTCCTGATCGTTAGATTTTATCAAAGGAACATCATTCAGAGAGTGAAGAACAATGTATCTTTGATTTTTCCGACGGACGTTATTTTTATCTGCCGATGTTGTTCGTATTCCGATCAACTAGTGCGTTACGAGAACCCAGAAAACTCGAGCAATCTTCGAAGAATCGTTCGGAACGATAAGGAATCAGCTTCATTCAGAGGACATGACGCAAACGCGTGGCCTAACCCCGAGTTTATCGGCGCGGTATCAACGAGCGCATTGTTCCGATCGGCGACACGGCACGCGGATCGCGTGTCGTAAGACGGACGCCGTTAATGAGTAGGCTGGAACCTATAAAGAATGAAATAAATAATGGATCTGGGTCGTTCGACGGGTGTCGCGAAGGCCAGGCCTCGCTATCAGCGTGTCGCTGCCGATTTTCCCGCGGAAACTAGAGCTGCTACTTTTACCCGAGTACGTTAAGCTAGGCCCAGGTACCTGTCTATCTCATAATGTTTTCCAACTGCCTATCAGAGCATTTATCCAATCGGGTACTCGAATGCTCAGACAGGTAAGCGCACGAATGCGCATAAAATCATTGAATGTTTTACTTGAGTATCTATTGTACCGATATTTTTCTCTGAAATGATCGAAATAGAATAATTAACACGTTCGCGGACGTGAATGCTATAGCATTCATTTTCATTGTGATGCAAAATTACATGAACGCTGAAATTTATAAGCCACACTGTCATGAGTTTAATTCTACATAGCCTTAACTTTGTGAAATTATTATGCATTTTAACCCTGGGAGTACTGCATTTGCATTTGCCCTATTTTTACGGTTCATTAAAATTTTTACTGTCCACGAACGTGTTGAGTACTCGAAAATACGGTGATTCTACCTGATTATCTTACGTGTAACTCGGGTACCCAGATATTTCATAAGTCGCAGCCCCAGCGCGGTGCAACGTTACGCTCGAAAAAGCGACTTTCTTCGCTTGGAATCATTCCCTGGACTTTCTCCGCGAGTATTCAGGGACGCGAGGTTCCCGTTGCGTAACAAACGTGCACGCGGAGTCCCGTGGGATATCACGTGGAGGCGGCGCGCGTCCGCGAACTTTACGCCCTGCGCATTTGCATACAATCGCGGAGCGAGGCTTCCGAGACCGTCCCGGTTCTGTCCCGGTGACGTCGCGGGTTTCTTCTGGTTCCGAGTTCCCAATGTGTCGTGACCCACTACTCCATCGCGGAAATTTCAAAATGTGCTTTACTTACTCGTTGGCAGTGCTTTGCTCATCAAGGATCATTTGATTGAAGAATAACTTGATAATCTTTCGACGACGATCCCTGTAGTATCACTGACATCAAATTTTCGTATCTAGAACCGAATTTTCCAGCAGATAATTATTTCAGCGACAGTAGTTTAGTATCTGGATTGTGAATTTTCAACGAATCATCGAGCAGACGATTTATCAGTAGTTGAATTTCCAAAATTACGTACGAATTTCTTTGATGTATCTTTGCTGCATTTAGTAATCGAGAGAGACAATGGAATAATTTACTTTTAACTTTCCAGCTAACTGGGAAATTATAAAGTTTGGTGTAAAAGGGGATTGGTATCTTATAATTCCTGTATCACATGAATTTGTACCACCGTTCACTTTCGACTCGCCGAGCGAAGGAAAAAGAAAACGACTCAAGGATGAAGGATCGTAAAGAACGAAGGAAAGAGAAACTGCGCGGCAGCTTCTTTTCGCGAGCTTTATTTCTAATTAACGGCAGTAGCGTGTTAATTGTCCAGCTGCTGTAGCCAGTAGACCTCGGAGATTCCTCGCCGCGGGTTGAACAGGTTCGGCCTCGGGTTCAGCGGAATCCTTTCCGCTGGATGCAACGGCGCGCTTCTAGGAAAACGGAGAAGCGTCATAGAAAGCGATACTTCTTGCGCGGAGCGTAGAAAGTGGCCGGTACTCTTAGTCACTTTCGAAAACTCGTTCCCCGAGAATCCCTTAAAATGTCTGTTTCATAGAATTTCCCAATCGCGTAGTTAAAATTTTCGTTTTTATCCTATGTAACTTCTGTATTCCAAAATGGTGAAACCGTGAACAAGGTTCTCGACAGTAAGAACTTACAATAACAAACGACAATACTTAAACCTAAACGCCAGAGCATGTACACGAAAAACTGAAAGAAAACTGCAGAAAAAGTTGTTATCATGTTGGCATTACGAAAAATGTCAATTAACACTATCGATTAGCATGAATTCGAAAAAATAAAATGAACCATATGTAAAATAACGTAACTATATAGGATTATAATAAATTATTATTTATATGCAGATGTATATGAACAGATTCATATTTGCCTTTTCTTCTTTATCATTTCAGAGATGGCAAAGAAGATGGTTCGTCCTGTACGACGACGGAGAGCTGACGTACTCGGTGGACGAACACGTGAGTACCATGCGAAAAAAGCATTTAATGCAAATTTCTGTGTTCGGCTCGGGCCGGCTACACACGGCGAATCGAATCCTCTTAGCCCCGTCTTTCTGCGGGAGCGATGCGTATTCGCGCACGAAATCCACTTTGCCGCTGACAAATCCGTTTAGCGTCCCGATACGGTTTCATTCGGAGCGATCCGACGGAAACGTTCCGCGTAATACGAATTTTCTATTAGCGACGCGCCGGCCGATCGCCTCGCTCCTGCTGGCCAAGCTAATCCATGTCTCGAATTAATTTCGAAATTAAATTACCGTGCCCTCTGTCTTTCAATTTCAATTTTCCCGACGGACGTTCTTCGAGCAGACCTGAACAGCGGGGTTTCAGGACTGTGGATGGATTCCTGTGTTTTAACGCGTTGAACGGAAAATTGGATCTAATATGAATCTCGGAAAGGAAACAATTTATTTGAAACAGAAATCGCAACTATTACTTTCGTGATGAATCTTAATGGAGTTTTCAGTCAATGGATCTCCGTGAAAATTCGTTTCTGAAAAAATTGTTGAAGTTTTGGAGCAGTAGTGAGTATCTTATTTTCCAGAAGGGAGATTATAAAGTTTCAAAAGCGCAAGTCATAATCTTCACAGTTTTATATATTTTAATCTTAGATTCTCATCTGTTTGCAAGCTAACACCTCGTAATTGAAAGAACAAGAAAATAGCAAGCTATAATCGTATACGAAACCGACAGCATATTCTAAAAGATCTGTTTAGCTCCTAAAAGATTGTCGAAAGTTACACAATGTAATTGGCGGAATGTAATAGGGAATAATTGATCGAATCCACGGCGATGATAAGAGGCTGGCGAAGCCGGTCTCGGAACGCCTCTCTGAAAGTCGTTCGGCCCACGGTTGCCGCGTTACCCTTCTGGAATCGTGAACTGTCAAGCTTCCAACATTATGGCAGGTCGTGAATCAAAAGCTGCCCCTTGAAGCGGCTCCCTCGGAGTCTAGGAGTGGCAAAGGTCGCAGGCAATTGTAGTTACTAGCCGGGCCGGGCTCGTGAACGGCCATCGGCAGCCACAGTCAATACCATCAACATCCGCCGACAACGGCCCCAACATGGACGGGCGAGAAACGGGCCGCGGGACTCGCGCCTCCAGACGTTCCCCTGACGTCGATGGCCGCGGTAATGCTAGAAACCGTCAGAATTGATTTAAGCACGGACAGATGGCTAGATAAAAGCTGACCGCCGCCTCTTCTCTGTTCCCTTCGTAAATGGCCAGTTAACGTTAACGATACCTCCGCGACCGAGAGAAAAAAACGACGGCCGATTCGATGATTCCTTTGGCAGCGCGAAGAATTATTCAGTAATAATTCTTTATCGACAACTGTGAATCATGCTTGAGAAGCGCGTACGATTAGTAGGAGGCTTTGATTTGGTTGGGGTTCGAGTTTGTTGGGTTGTTTAGTGGAATTGAGTTTGGACTGTAGAACCTTAGAATACTGGAAGTTTGGAAGTTTGGATCTTTGGAATTTTAGAACTTTAGAACTTTAGAATTTCAGAATCTCGCTACTCTAGAATTCTAAGATTCTAGGACTCTAGGGCTCTAGGACTCTAGGACTCTAAGATTCTAGGACTCTGGGTCTCTAGGACTCTAGGACTCTAGGACTCTAGAACTCTAGGAATCTGGGGCTCTAGGACTCTAGGACTGTAGGAACCTGGGGTTCTAGGAATCTAGGACTCTAGGCCTCTAGGACTCTAGGACTCTAGGAATCTGGGACTCTAGGACTCTAGGACTGTAGGAACCTGGGGTTCTAGGAATCTAGGACTCTAGGCCTCTAGGACTCTAGGACTCTAGGAATCTGGGACTCTAGGACTCTAGGACTCTAGGAATCTGGGACTCTAGGACTCTAGGAATCTGGGACTCTAGGACTCTAGGACTGTAGGAGTCTGGGATTCTAGGATTCTAGGGCTCTAGGCCTCTAGGACTCTAAGATTCTAGGGCTTTAGGACTCTAGAACTTTGAAAGTCTAGAACTTTAGAACTTTAGAACCTTAGAACCTTAGAACCTCACGACCCTAAAACCTTGAAACCTTAGTACCTTAGAACCTTACGACCCTAGAACCCTAGAACACTAAAACCCTACAATTCTAAGATTTTACTACCAGTTCAGAATCAAGTTTAGACCTAATTCCATCTCACATTTGTCACATTTCTTCTTCAAACCCATCCGCGCATCTACCTTCCGTCTTTTACCATCGCCACATTCAAACAATTCTTAATTTCAATCATTCTGTTATCCATTTCATTCCGTAATCTCCCGCCACATGAATCAAAACGAAATCCCCCAAGATTCCCTTTCAACAGGGAACAATGCGTCGGCCAGCTGCCCGTGGACAACCGCGTTCGTCTGAATTCAGTCGACCCGTTAGCCCAATTTCTCATTCCACCTCAAGGCCGACCAGGTACGACTCCGGTCCCAGGGGGAGAACGATAAAGAGAGAAAGAGAGACGCAACACGGGACGCATCCGGCGCACAACCAGCGTTATTATCTTTTCGCATTTTTCGGCCGAGATTATTCTCGAAACGAATGGCCCTCTTACGGCCCGCGACCGGATCATTAATCTGGCTTCGAAGATGGCCGAGTTGTCGGCCGGTTCGCGTCTCGTCTACACTGTTGCTGGCTTTGAACGCGATATCGGCCGTCCCAATCGGTCGTCGTTATTATAATTTCATGCCCGGGCTCGCGCGCGCCGGCCGTAATAGGGCCCCGTAAAAATGGCGGAATGGCACTCCGCGCGCGGCTGTGCCTACGCGTCCCGAGTGAACCGACCGTTTTGCTGAGAGCCAGCCGTGACGAGTTGAGATGCTCATATTAAAGGACTCGAATAAATTAGTCGCGCCGCGCTCGAATATTATTATTTTTCTACTTTATCGACGTTTATATAAATTCAGTTTACTCGCGTCTCGGTTATTCGATTCCCGTGTAAATTCGAATTTGAGAAACGTTCATTGTACGGTGTCACGCGATCACGCGGAAAGCTAATAGTTACGAGTTAACGCCCCGAGGTTGAAGCATATTTTCTTGCCAAGCTTGAACAACTTTGAACGAAGTCATCTGGAACTATCGGAAACACCTGCGGCAGTTTCTTCGTGCAGAAACTCTTAAGTATTTAGGTTTGCGGCTACTAATCTCAGGTAGCCAGCGCAATGTCTAAACAATGTTCGTATTATCTCGTTCAACTCCTTTAAAGATGATCAATGTTCCATATCCATTATACAAACTCGCAAAGAATTATCGACTATACGCCCGATCAAAGAGCACAACTCCCTTTTTTCTAGAACCCAAAGGATCCACATACAATTTAGTTACCTCCATTCCTTCAAAGGAATAAAAGCCCTCTCGAGAACGATCCAGGATCTTCAATAATCTCCGAGCATCACGCGCACCCCATAAAAAGCAACCGCATAATCGAGTCTTTCGAATAAACAAATCCGTTCGACTACCGTGCCTCCCACGTGTCGGGACACGCCCAGCCGGCCATTCGCAAATAATTAAACCCGGTCTACGCTCCGTTCACCGTCAGCCGTTCTTAAAAGGGTGTAAGGGAGGTGTAAAGCGATTTTTCAGGGGTTGAGTATCAAGAGTCCGGTCCGGTATCGCTATCGGAAAGTTAGCGCGAGCCGCGCCGTGGGCAGCCGCGGCGGCGTGTCGGCCAAAGAGGGCAAAACGGTTGGTGCCTCTCGAAGAGTATCCCGTCGCGAGGGCATTTATCAACGTTCTTTAAACGGGACAAGCCTAATCGGCCGATTGGCCGGCCGGTCGCGCGAGACTCCCCCAATAATCGATAGTTAATTGGAAATGGCATTTCTCAAGGGAGCCAGCGAACGAGCGGCCGCGCTGGCAGCCGCGATACCGGGCGGAACGGTCACCGGTGGCCAATTATGCAAATTCGTTCGCGCCGGGGAAAGCCTCTGGAACTGGCGCGGAATTAATCGTTTGAATTGGAACGATTAGCTCGCCGCCGGAATACGCCGTGCCAAGATTATCGGGGATTTCTCGCGGCCGATCGACGCGCTTGGAAAATTGCCCCGGCCGGCAGTTAATCGCGCGCATCGATCCTCTCGCGATTAAGACCGATTCTTCGACTGAACGAGGATGGTAGTTACAGCACCCGGTGACGAGTGCACCGGTGATTTACGGTTTATGCGGATTAGTCACAGTACTAGGGTGCACCAGCGTCGTCTCGATCGAGTCTAGTAAACTTTTAGCAGATTTAGTACTCAAAAGTAGATTTAGTTATCCCTAGTGACGCAGGCTTTGAACGTTTCCCCGATCCCTAGCTTTCGAGTGTAAATTCACCAATTTGCAAATGGATCGGAATTAAGATTCCCAATGATAACGAAGTTACTGATTCAATATTAATTATAAGAATCAATGAGAAGTTCACAAGCTTCGGATATCTAGTATTCTTAAATTCAAAATTAAAATATCTAACTTTCGGAATACACAAATTTAACAGTTACTATTACGAACGATCGATCTTCCGTCGTTACTCTCGAGACCACCTGAAGTCCGAACGTGTCCAAGCGTCGGTCTGAAAAGGAAATCCGTTAACAAGTGGCAAAAGCACGGAGAACCAATTACACGGTATATCGTCGGAAAGCTCTCGGCCTGTTCCGCAACGGAACAATCTGCTCAATTTCCCCCGGCACCGAGCCAATTAAAGGCGCACGCTCGCCGCGCGCGACGATAAAAGATCCCCGAACAACTCTCGCGCTGGGCCCGAGCGAATGATCAAACGAGAGCTTCCATTGAGCCCATCATTTTCCCGGGCGTCATTAACGTCCACGGGCCGCCGCTTCTCTCTTCTACGTCCGCGCGACGCCTCGGACTAATAGGAACCCGTGTCGTCGGTTCAATAACGCGGCCGGTACGCCGATGATATTGATGACGGCGCGCCGATAAGATCGACGACGGATGCGAATGACCCCTTTTCCCCCGGTGTATT